CCGACACTGGCGGCTTGTTCGCAACTTCGCGCCGTTCCGCATCCCGGACGCCGCTTTCGCTCCCTGCCCGTTGCCTTGGAGCCGCCGACCCAAAAAGGTGCATCCCCGCCAGCCCGCGCTTCCAGGAAGGGCAGGAACCAGTGGAAGGTCGCCGGCTCTAGCACTGCGGGCGCGCCCGTCCTTGTTTCACCCTAGTCGCAGCCCGCCGCGCGTGTTCGCTAAGGTTTGCAGAAACTGCAGCCTTCAGCTGCTTCCTGGTTTCCTGGTGTGCCGACCAACAGTGGGCCACTCAGAAAGGGGGGCGTCATGCCTTCCCTGCTCGGAGGACGGGCCCCGCAGCAGACGGGAGGCATGCGGGGGTCGTACACAACGAACGGCGACGGGCGAGGAAATAGGCGCTCCCACACATGGCGGTGTTACGTCTGTACTCGGCAAACCAGTGGCCTTCAGCCACTTCCTGGTAGCGCTTTCTGCCTCCGTTCACCTCCTGTGTCACCTTTGGACGCGTGGCCTTCTGCCGCGTTCCTGGTCCCCCCCAGTCTCCTTCAGCACCCGCTGCCCCCCCGCCCTTGGGTCCCTGGCAGCTGCCTGCTGACAATGCCGACGCGTGGACTGCCGCTGGGGCCGTGGTCCACCTGTCCTAGTTGGCCCTGGCGTCGCTGTAGTTGTTTTCGCCGCCCTCGGCGCCTTCCACTCCCCGCGCCTTTCGGCAGTTGCCCCGCTCCGAGCTGCCCCGCTCCCCGCGGGAGACGGCACTGCCGCGCTCCGTCCTGGCCCCCCCCCTCCTCAGGCAGCCGGGCCCTGCTCCGCATGCTCAACTTCCTCGTTGGCGCTTGGGGCCCCCGAGTGCACGTGGTCCTGCCTGTGCTCTCCTGGCCGTCGGCCGACTGTGTTGACTACGTCCACGGTTTCCTGGCGGCGGTGTCCACGGCATTCGTGTTCACTCGACCTCGTGCTTGAGGCGTGTCCCTGCCCAGTTCCTGGTCAGTTCTCCTCATACGTCGTCGACCTTGTTTGGGAACGCGCGTGGTTTCCTCAGGAATGAGTGTGCGACTTCGGTGGCGCCACTCGTGCTGGCTCCTGGTCAGTGACGTATTCCTGGCCTTCGGTGTTAGTGTTACTTCCTGGAGTATATTGCAAGCGAGCTGCCCCCTTCAGGGGCAGGGTGCGTGGATGTCTCGTGTGGGTTGTCCTACGTCTAGTCCTCGCCCTCAGCGGCCACTTGTCAGCGGTGTGTGCGACTTTGGTGGCGCCACTTCCATGCACTAGTTTCCTGGTCAGTGAGTTCTTCCTGGCCTAGCTTGTGTCTGCAGTCCTTCGTGATGGTGCTTCTGGCTTCATCCTGGTACCGCCCTCGCGCCATTTTGGCTGCGCCCCAACCTCGGTTGGCTAATTTGCATGTGCTCGCTCCTGGACCTGTTTCCTGGCAGCTGCAGCCCGCGCCACCTCCCGCTTCCGGTCCGCTGGGGTGCCACTTAGGCCTCTGTTTGCTGGCGCGTTAGGCAATTAGGTTCGCACGTGGCCCGCCCGTCCCGTTTGACGCCGCCTGCGCTTTCGCTTGCGGCTGCGACAACAAATATCCCCACCAGCCCATCCAGAAACGATCCTCAGGGGAGTTGAGGTGATCAGGGAAGTGGGGGAGCGTGCAGGAGAACAAGGGGCGGGGGAAGCCGTCATATACCCATAGGGGAGGATGGAGGAGGAATCGTCGTCGTAGTCATCGTCGTCGTCGTCTTTGTCGTCGTCTTTGTCGTCGTCGTCGTCGGGGGAGGAGGAGGAGAAGGAGGAGGAGGAGGATGATGAAGAGTAGGGCGAGGACGAGGAGGACGAAAAGGAGGAAAAGGAGGAGAAGGAGGGAGAGTTGGGTACCTCGGGGATCCTCTTGAGGCCTCGTATGGGGTTTCTTGGGAGCCTCTTGGGGGCCTCTTGGGGCCGTCTGGGCGCCTCTTGGGGCCCTCTTGGGGCGCTCTTGGGAGCTTCAGGGGCGCACTTTGGGCCATCTTGGAGGACATCGATCAAACAAGAGGGGAGCTGCAATTAGCCTCCTGGACTCTCTTGGAGCGCTCTTGGGGCGCTCTTGCGCGCTCTTGGGGCTGTCTTGGGGCTCTCTTGGCCTCTCCTGGGGCTCTCTTGGGCCACTTTGGAGCCATCTTGAGGCCTCGGATGGCCACCGGAAGCGAAAAGGCGAGAAAGCAACAACCGTTGATTTCCGGATGTTTTTGAAGGATTTTGGCTTCTTGGCGGCCTCCTTGGAGGTCTCGGAGGCGTCTTGGCGCCGTCTTGGAACATTCTTTGGGCCTCGTGGAGCATCTAGGGAGCCGACTTGGGCTATCTTGAAACATCTTGGAGGTCATCTTGGGCTCTCTGAGACCCTCTTGGAACCGTCTTGGGCGAAAACATGCACTGACACCTCGCGGGGTGCCCCGCCCAGGTCCAGGGGTGGGGCTAGGGGGGAGGGGTAAACCCCTCCCCGAAGGGGAAGAAGGGGGGTTGGAAGAGGAGACTCCCCAGACCACCTGCGCCCAGAGGGCTGGTGGGATTCGCTGCGCCACCGCCTTCTCCAACGCCTGCAGCGTGACGGCGACGAGCAGCACGACGATGCAGCGACGATGGGCAGATCCACAGCACGGGGTGCAGCCCGGCGGTGGCCGGCACGACAGACACCAGCAGGGCGACGCTGAGCACGCCCCATGCGGAACAGATCAGAAGCACGACTCCGCTGCCCCGTGACTGCGCTGCCCAGCAGCATAGACATGTGAGCTCCCGCGCCGTCCGCCACGACGGGGTTGAGCACCACGTCTACATCCAGCATTGCGGGTTCGTGCGCGGCATGGTCGACTATACAGGGCCAATTATGGTGCCCACCATGCTGGAGTTGAGCACCACGATGTCTACCGCGACGGAAACGAGCACTACGACGGGATCCAGCGGCGGCGAGACTCTGGCCTCTGCTTCGATCTGCCCAGGCGGAAGCAGCGCGAGTAGGGCCGGCAGTGTGGAGGAGCTCCCCCGGTTCCTCTCCTCCCTTCGGCGGTGGACAAACCTCCATTGAGAAACACCCTTTAGTGAAAATAGCCTAGGACCGACACCGACGGACCTGGACCCGCAAAAATGACGGCCGCGCGACCCCCTCGCGAACCGAAAACGGCCAATTCGCTAATCGACGTGCCAGGGTAGGAGGTCATCGACCTCCGATCCCTCCTGCCCCGAATTGATGGTGGGTGGCCACTGCCGGCACGGGCTAGGCGCGCAGGTGCTCTGCGGCCGCTGCTGGCCGACCCTGGGGGGCCGCCTTCTCGGCGCATGCTCGCCCTCCAGCCGCTGCGGAGCAGCGGTTTCTTGCCGGGAGCCGCCGGGATCCCGTCAGACGTGCAATACCTTGGCGCGTGCGTGCGCCAAAGGTCAGTCTCCCTGTCCTGCTTTGGTCCTCTGCCTCCCCTTTCCCCTGGTCTTCGTCACCTGCCTGCTGCATTGTGCTCGCTCACTTGGCGCAGCCCCTCTGCCTAGGCCCGAGGCTTTGCTCAGTTTTTTCTGTTGTCCACTCGCGTGGGATCCTGGTGCCAGCGCTTCTGTCGGCATTGGCCGTGGATGTCGGACTTCGCACGCGCGAGTTCTGTAGTTCATTAGCTTGCTGCTTTCTTTCCTCTGTCGTTTGTTTCTCTTTGTTCACGCTTCGAGGGGAACCGCGGGCGTTGGGCTTGCTGAGCGGTGTCGTGTGTTTGTGTGTGTGTGTGTGTGTGTGTGGCGATAATGTGTAGTGACAGTGCGACTCTTTTCGCAGTGCTGGCTGAGGCGTGATAACACAGTGCTCCATTGGTATATGTTTCAATATCTACACATCATCGTACACACATAGACAGACGTACATGCATATTTGGTACATCTATAATGCAAATAAATACCGCCCCCCCCGGCCCTGGGTCCCACACCTCCCCGCCACATCTCGGGAACGCTCCCGTCCCCCAGCCTTTCCGGGGAGCCTCCACAGCGCTCCAGGAGGGCCCAAGACGCCCCCCAGGAGCCCCCAGAATGCGAAAGGATGGCCGAAGACGCTCCCAAGCAGCCCAAGTCAGCCTTTCGACGGCTCTCGAGGCTCCCAGGTGGCCTCCAAGAGACCCCAAGAGAGGTCCGAGAGGCGCTTCCAACGGTCCAAGACCGCCCCAAGACCGCCCAAAAGACTCCCAGGACGGGTCCAAGACGGGCCAAGAAACCCCCAAAATTGCCGAAGAGGCGCCCGGTACCGCGCCCCTCCCTTTTTTTCAAAGTGGACTCCTACTCGGAGATCCCACACATCCCCTGACATCTGGCTGGTACCGCGCCTCCCGGCTTCCCGGGGGCCCCCCAAGACGCCCAAGGACAGCCCAAGACGACCCCAAGGAGCCCCCAGAACGCAAAGAACGGCCCAACACGCTCCCGCGCAGCCCGAGACACCCTTCCGACGGCTCTCCAGGCCTCCAGGACGCCTCCAGAACCCCCCGGGGTCCGGAAGATCCCACAGCCCTGAGGGGCCCGGCTAACAAAACCCGCGAGGCACAAACAAAAAACAGCGCCGAACAGCGCCGAGGAACTGAAAGAATTGGAATTCCACAATTCCTTTTTTCTTTTTTTCATTTCATCTCCAAGTTTGGCCCCCGGTCTACTCTTGCACAACATACCCTAATTCAGACCCCCCTCACCTCCCAAAAAAGAACTCAGGAAGCCTTTAAGGGCCCTACATCGTTGAATATCTAAAGGAAAGTAATGATTTCTGCGTTTCCGCACTTCCCCTTCTATACGATTCCGAGGCTTGCGCAGAGCCTCCAAGGGAGTCCCTGGACGTTGCTTGAGTTAGCCTATCAAGCCTAGCTAGAACTTGAGCGCGCGCGAATCGCGCGCGCGATGGTTCTATTCTCTATATGCACGTTTACTCATGCATGAATACAGAGGCATCGAGGGATGCAGTGAAGTAGAGAGATTGGACCACGCGGAGGTCAGAGTCGGCTTGGGGGGGGAGTCGTGGAGGCGGGAGGGGGAGGAGAGCGGTTAGTGGCTCCTCGTGCGCGCTTGTCGGCAGCGCCGCGGGAGTGTTGCTCCTTAGCCTCCTGCTGCGATGCAGAGTAGTAGGATTTTGCCGATCTCCAGCTTGGCTCCAGCCGAGATCCTAGCCGTCGTCTTCTGCTGCTCCGACTGCGAAGGCCTCACGGCTGGTGCCGCCGACCCTGAAGGGGGACGACGACGACGACGACGACGACGACGACGACGTCGACGACGACGACGACGACGACGACGACGACGACGACGACGACGACGACGACGACGACGACGACGACGACGACGACGACGACGACGACGACGACGACGACGACGACGACGACGACGACGACGACGACGACGACGACGACGACGACGACGACGACGACGACGACGACGACGACGACGACGACGACGACGACGACGCTTGCGAGCCCTCATGGGGCCCTTGTGGGCCCTGTTGGCCTCTCATGGGGGGCTTTTTAGGTCGTCTAGGGGCCTTCTTGAGCCGTCCTGGGGCCTCCCTGGGCCGTCTTGAAGCGTCTGAGGCCTTGTGATTCCTTCTCGGGCTCTCTGGGGATGACTCTTGGGCCGTCTTGCGGCGTCCTTGGTCCGTTGTGAGGCTTTCTTGGGCCGACATGGGGCTTTCTCGGGGAGGACGTGGGCTGCTTTGGAACGATCTGGGGGGGCTTTTGAGCCCTCTGGCCCTCCTGGAGCGTGAGAAGCTCGAAGGGCGAGAACTCGAAAAAATCAGGGGAGCAAGCCTTAAGTAAGGACATCTATGATTCTCGCCTCTCTTGGGGGTGCTCTTGGGGCTGCTCTGTGGCGATGGGGCCTTCTTGTGGGATCTGGGGCGCCTCCTGGTGCTTTCTGGTTGCCTCTCGGGGCAGGAGGCCTTTTTGAGCCGGCTTGGTCGGAGGGGGGGATTTGTCACGACCTCCGAGACCCACCCCAGGACCCCCCCCCCGGGACCCCGCCTCCGGGATCCCCTCCCGGGATCCCCCCTTGGGATCTCCCATGGCGACCTCCCCCGCGGGACGCTGTTCGATCTTCGTCGGGGAGCGGGGCCTCAACCCCTGGGGCCCCCCGTGGGACCCATCCCCGGGATTCCCCCGCCCCCCTCGTGGCGGGGAAGGGGAGGGGCTACCCCTCGAGTCGATTGCGACGTCGCTCGATTTCCGTATGGCCAGATCGTTCGAGGAGGAGGGCCCAGGGAAAGGTGGAGGGCAACGTCCAGCTGGGCTCCAGCCCAAACCCCATCCGTGTCCTTCTGCTGCTCCTAGTCGTCGTCGTCGTCGTCGTCGTCGTCTTCTTCTTCTTCTTGTTCTTCTTCTTCTTCTTCTTTTTCTCCAGCGTCTCCTTCGTCTTCTTCTTCTTCGTTTTCTTCTTCTTATTCTTCTTCTTCTTCTTCTTCCTCCTCCTCCTCCTCCTCCTCTCGCACGTCCGATGCCCATATGCGGCAAGCCATGCCCCTCAAGCTCGAGTGCAGTCGCGCGGGGCAGATCGGCACACCAGGAGGAGCGATGCCTCGGCAGTGGGCAGATCCGTGGCTGCAGCGGTCGCTGGGGCTCTCGTCACCACCCACTAAACCACCCCAACCCAACCCGAAGCCCTCGATTTGCCCTCCATTTCCGGTGGGGGGGGGGGGGGTCGGGGTCAAATTCGGGTCTTCGGGTTGGATTGGGGTGGTCTGGTAGGTAGTCATCTTGGGTGTCCGCCGGAGCCCGCGACAGGCCTTTTTTCGGCCAGCGCAGAGGACCAGCGCTCTTCGCGAGCTGCTTCGCGTCGCTTCGTGCCGCGGACCGCCGGGGCCGGCGGAAACACGGGCGCGGAGCGTGTGCTAGGCACTTGGGCTCCGTGCTCTCCGCACCAGGCGCGTCCCGCCAGTCTCGGCCCTCGCGCCCGCGTTCGCTGGCGCTGCCGATTACAAGTGTACGTGTTTGCTTTGTCGGTCGCCCCTGGGACCGCTTCCACGTCCTCGGGGCCCAGGTCGCTTGCCGTGGCATCCCCACGCCTGCTCGACCGCAGCGGGTTCGCTCCGACGCCGCCGACCAAAAGGTGGATGCACTTGGTCGTTCGTATTTGCGTGCCTCGCCTCCTCCCAGCCAGGGAGACCTTCACAGCCTGCCGACGACGAACGCAGATATGCACGTGCTCAGGGTACCTCATTGGGCTGCCAGGCAGCGAGGCTGACGCCGTGCACAAGGGATCGTGCGCACGCGGCCGCCCAACGCGTGGGACCTCTCGCACGGCCAAGCTCACTTGTAAAATGATGTATCCGACCACAGGACTCCTGACTCAGCGCGATCGCGCAACTTCGATTCGAGCCATCGCAGCCCACGTGCTGCTCGTGCTGCCAGTCGAAAGGTGGCCGACCGCTGTGTCGGATCTTGCAGTCGCCTGCCAGTAACTACAGCCTTGTACTCAGGAGCAGCACCCGCGACGTCGGCCGACGACTTTCGAAGCTTGACGCATGCGGCTTCTCGTGGATTAAATTCGCTGGCTCCACCCTTTCCCCCCCCCTCGATCGATGTTCTCCCCCTGGCCCTCCCCCTTTCCCCCCCGCTCCCTGAATCCTCTGCCCCTGTACCCCCTTCCTCTTTCTCATGCCGTTTCCCTTCCCTTCGTCCTATCCCCTCCTCTCCCTCCCCCCTCCTTTGAGAAGGGCGCTGATAACGATGCTGATTTGCTGATGATGATGGCGCTGCTGATGATGAGGAGGGAAGAGATGGGGAGGAGGAGAAAAACACACACAGACACAATTCATCGTCGATTCCCAAGACAATATTGGAAAATATGGGGATAACCCCAGAAAATATGGGAAAATATCGGGAATCCTTTCATTTGTGCATGTATTTGTGTGTCCCAGGGCTCCTTCAGAGATGGGGAGGAGGGGGGGCGCTCATTGCCTCTCCCTCATCCTCCCTGGGTCCTCACTGCCTCTCACTTTTCCTCCCTTGCGGTGGGTGGTGGCACGCGTCTGCGCGCGGGCGCGCCAGGCCGGGGCGCGCCACTCTCTTCTTCTTCTTCTCCTTCTTCTATCTCTCCTTCTTCCTCTTCTTCCTCATCTTCTTCCTCTTCTTCCTCCTCTTCTTCTTCCTCTTCTTCTTCCTCTTCTTCCTCCTCTTTCTCCTCGCCACTGACGGATCTGGGAGGCGTGCCACGACACGCGCCACGCCCGTCTTTTGGCCGCCATGGCCACAGCTTCCCGGATATCCCATCTCAGGGAGGCTGCTGCGAGCACGGCAGAGATTTTCAGAGCGGGTCCCGCGGCACAGGCCTTGTGGGGAGCTGATGTACAAGGTCTGGCGGACGGCAAACACAAGTCTCTCATTGTTGCCGCAGTTGCGGCTGAGGGCCGCCTGCCTAGTGGGTCCTCGCTCGGTTTCGCTTCGATGGCTACTCGGGGGTGTTGGCGCCGAGATCCCCTGGTTCAGCTGACGGCCGATGCCGTCAAGACTTATGTTTCGATCGTGCAGTCAGCCATGCTCGGTGATCCTGTCCAGGAGTTCCTGTTTGCGGTGGGTCCCAGCTCACGTTGGTTGCTGCTTTGATTCCCACGACCGCCAGGATCGATGTTCGTTTCCAGGGTCCCTGGGTCGTCCGGGAGCCGAGCGTTTTTTCCCGGGATGTCCGCGAGCTGTCCCCAGCCTGTCTTGCTGAAAGAGCAAGCCTCGCTGCCAGGTTAAGCATCGGACCGCCAACACTCGCCAAGCTAGGGCCAGCACTGTCTTGGGAAGGCGACGTTTTTTGGCGCCGCTTGAACGAGCTGCTGTACCAGCAGCCACCTACGGAGGAGGATGAGGAGACTGGGTCGGCAGACGGTTCGGAGGGGTGAAGTCCGAGGCATTAGCGTGCCCCCCGAGGGTTGGCCATCGGGTCTCACTGGTGCCAGCACCGCCTTTCATGGGACGATCACCAGCTCCAGTCCAACTGCCTCCAGTGTGGCGAGCTCGGCACTTGGCTTCATGGGCACTTAAAAGTGCCCAGCTTGGGCCCTGTGGCGCAGGGACAGCATCCCACCCGAGGTCAACCTGGCGGCCTCATTCCTCAGTGGTGCTCCTATCCAGATACACGAAAACATTGGGCGCTTTCTCCTTCCTGACCGCTGCCAGATCGTGACCAGGAGACCTTGGGACCCTGGTGCCGAGTTCTGGGTTGAGGGCCACTGGGCCTTCCTGGACTTTCAAGGGGGGCATGTGTTCTGTGACGACTCGGGTTTCGACTTCGATTTTCCTTCGGTCCGTGTGGCAGGGGGGTCGCATGGTACGACGGCTCTTTGAACTTCTTAGGAGGTGCTTCGGAATGGTTCCTCCAACCACCCTCCTATCGCAAGATGCTTGATTAGCCGCTGTTCGTGTCGGGCGCCGCTGCGCTGGGACACTCAGCACATCAACGTGCTCGGTTCGCAGCAGGTTGCATAGGAAGCAGCCGAGCGACCGTAAAGAATTCCACCTCCTCCATCCCATCCTCCCACCCTCCCTCCTCCTCCTCCTCGTCGTCCCCCTCCTCCTCCTCCTCCTCCTCCTCCTCCTCCTCCTCCTCCTCCTCCTCTCCTCCTCCTCCTCCTCCTCCCCCCTCCCCCCTCCCCCTCCCTCTCCTCCTGCTCCTCCTCCCCGTCCCTCTCCTCCCCCTCTCCCTGGACCTCGTCGTAGTCGTCGTCGTCGTCGTCGTCGTCGTCGTCGTCGTCGTCGTCGTCGTCGTCGTCGTCGTCGTCGTTCTCCTCCTCCTCCTCCTCCTCCTCCTCCTCCTCCTCTTCCCTCCCTCCCTTTCTCGTCTTCCACCTAATCCTCCTCCGCTCCTCCGCCCCGCCGGAGCGGCCAGGAAGCGCGACTCTGCCGCGCGCAAGGCGCTGCAGCGGGCCGAGGCCAGGGCCCAGGACCCCCCCCCCCCTCGCGCTTGGGGGGGGGGGGGAGGGAGGGATCGCAGGCCTAGAGGTTGACACCTACACCCACGGCGCTTGATAAGAAAATCGGTTTTTCATTTCAGTCCCTGCGGATTTCTTATGCCGCGGCCATGTTCAGCGCGCCCTACTTTCTTATTTTCTCCGCTCCCCAGTTCAGCCCCAAAATTTCTTATCTCATGGTTTTCTTTATATTGACCGGGGGTGTACACCAATATCTGGGTTGTCCCTCCACCGAAGGAAGAAGGTCCCGATGTCGGTGACTGTGGCAATGTTCTGGCGTCCAAGGTGACCACAATGTGACCACCAATGCCGAAATCTAGGATCATCTCCCCCCTGCGAAGGCAACCCCCTGTGTTGGTGTTGGGTGCCAATTTCCAGGCCTCCGAAGGGAGGGAGGGAGGGAGGGAGGGAGGGAGGGAGGGAGGGAGGAGGTTGGTTGGTTGGTTGGTTGGACCCTTTTGGATCGCGTGTGAGGCCGGGGGCACGGCCTCTTCAGCGCCGCTGCCGGGCAGCAGGCGACCCCCAGGTGCCTTGGCCTGTCCCAGCCCCGACCTTCGCAGGCAGACCGGCGAGGGGAGGGAGGGCTCTGGGAGGGCTCCCACGGCGCACAGCCACGCAGCGATCCCAGAGAGCTCACCCCCGTGAGGACCTTCGGGACGGCCGCCGAGTGCACTGATCCAAGCTGGCTCTTGAAGGGCGCTTTGAGGATCCCCTCGGTCCAACACCGCACCCCCACAGACCCCCAGTCGCCACGGCTGGGTTCGCCTTGAGAGGCCCACACGCCGACGGGCCCCAGGATCAACAAGAGACGTCCTCAAGGCGGGTCGGGTGTGCATCAACAACCTCCCAGGGCTCACGTGGGCTACCGCAGCCGGAAACGCGGGGGGGCGGGAGGGTCCAAGCGGAAGCCCGCAGAACTCCACGCAACGGGGCCCTACACGGTCCTGGCTCGCCGAGTGGCGAAGCACGACGCAGGTGCCAGCCTGTGCGAGGAACGAAGATCAGGGCCCTCCCTTGGGGGAAGCGGAAGCATCAGCAGCGTCGTCGACAGCGACGGCGACAGCGACAGCGACGGTAACAGCGACAGCGACGACGACAGCGACAGCGACGACGACGACGACGACGACGACGACGACGACGACGACGACGACGACGACGACGACGACGACGACGACGACGACGACGACGACGACGACCACAAGACGAAGACGACGACGCGGACGACGAGCGAGCCGAGACCACGGGACGACGACGAAGACGACGACGACAACGACGACGCGGCCAGCAGCAGAGAACACGAGGGCGAAGGGCGAGGGGCGAAGGGGCAGGAGAAAGCGAGGGGGGCAGGATAGGGAGAGGAAGAGGCACCCAGCGCTGCGGGGGGCCCGCCGCGGGGGGCCCGCCGTGCCGGAGCACCAGCGCTCTCGGCTCCACTTCCCGCCTGCCAGGGAGCGCGGCCACGTCCACCTCCCGGCCCGGGCTGAGTTTGGTCTTCGCCCGGTTTGCTCGCAACCCCGCCGCAGCGCAGGCCCGCGCAAACTCCTCCTCGGCTGGCTGCACGGCGGCGGTGGCGCAGATGACGTCCAGGTCATCCTGGTAGCCGTAGCACCGGCCCCGTTCCGCCTCCATGCGCGCCGCCCTCCCGACTGCGTCGGTCACGCTTTCGTAGCAGAGCGGGAAGACCTGGTTCGTGAGGGCGTCCCCCTGGTCTCCGCCACGCTCCTTGGGCAGGTGGGTCCTCGTGCCGTCCCTGGCCACGTGCACGTGCGCGGTGTCTGTGCACAGGCTAAGGCGGACCCAGGAGAGCATGTCCAGGACCAGCTCGCGGACCGCTCTCGCAGCCGACTCTCGGCTGAACTCGTTGCGTCCGTTGCTTACGTCGAGGCTGAGCTTGCAACAGCCAGGGCGGCTGTCGAGGTCAAGCAGGGCCGCCTTGTGCATGCGCGCGGCCCCGCGGGCGTCCCCCACAGAGTACTCAGTCTCCCCGAGCGCTGCCGCCACCCTGCTGCGGAACACGCGGCTCACCGCTTTGGACGCGGCCCTCCTGTGGAAGTTGCCCAGCGCAAGGGGCCGGACCTTGTCCGCCTCCTCCCGGTCGCCGGCCAGGATCCGCGCGGCCAGCCACGGCCTATGCGCATCTCCTGTGGCGCGCCCCAGCTGCAGCCGGAGCACCACTTGTGCGCAGCTCTCCCACGCCTCGGCGTGCCCCGGCATCCACGTCCAGTGTTCGCCTCGGGTGCCGCCGGGGCCGGCGCCCCTGTTCCGAGGTGCGTGGAGGTACGCCTGGCCCAGCTCGTAAAGGAAACGCTCGGTGCCTTCGTCTCCTGGCGCGCCCACTGGGAACACTGGTTGCGCGGCGGCCTGCGGGAACAAGGCCGGGAGGCAGCGCCTGGCCTTCGCGTCCGGCGCCATGGGGATCCTGCCGTCCACCACCCGCAACGCCTCCCGGACGTCCTCCTCAGCGAGCGCCTCGGCAACGCTCGTCACGTCCATGGCTAGCTGCTGCGCCTCCGTCCGGGTGGGCCCGCCTTGTCCCCGACACGGAGCCTCGGACTCCAGCCAGAGGACGTTCCAGGCTCCTTCCCACGCCAGCCGGACGGCCTGGCCAGGGTCCGCGCCAGCGTCTCTCCCTGCTGGCCTCTCCTCCCCTCCGCCGCCTCGCCGACGCGAAGAGCAGCCGGTCCACGAGCAGAAAAGCTTTCAGGTGCCGAGCCTCTTCCGGAGTCCCGCCAGCACGAAGCGCCGCATCGGCCAGGGTTTTCCGGAGGTTTGCGATGGCGAACCAGACGGCTGGCGGCACCACGCGCACCGTGGAGACCGGGTCCTGCAGGGCGTCCCAAGAGACCGTGTTCCAGAAATCCATGCGCAAGAGCTCCCCGTACGGCACCTGCACGGCGTCCCCGGCGGCAGCGCCGCCAGCTCCTCCTCCCGGTCCCCAGCCACATCCTGCTCCTCCAGAACCACTTCCAGTTCCTTCTCCTCCGTCTCCTGGTCCTCCTCGTTCTCCTCCGCCCGCCAGGCTGCCCGCCGCGTACGCGGCCTGCGCCTCGGCCTGCTTGTCAGGAGTGATGTCGCGCCACCCAGCCAGCTGCTCAGGCGGCCCGCACGAGTGCGCCACGCACCCGATGTGGTGCACGCGCGCGCGCCTGCTCCGCCGCGCCGCACCCGCGGGGCCCTGGCGGGCACCTCTCCCAGGCACGTGGCGCACATGGCCAAACTCCTGGAGGTTGGGGCCGAAATGACCCAGCGCGGCCCTGCGGCCGCCGCAGCGCCAGCCGCAGCGCCCGTCGCAGCCGGCGCGTCTGCGTCTGCGCTCGGCGGCCGTCTCCTCCTCCTCCTCCTCCCTCTCCTGCTCCTGCTCCTGCTCCTGCTCCTCCTCCTGCTCCTCCTCCTGCTCCTGCTCCTGCTCCTGCTCCTCCCCCTCCCCCTCCTCCTCCTCCTCCTCCTCCTCCTCCTCCTCCTCCTCCTCCTCCTCCTCCTCCTCCTCCTCCTCCTCCTCCTCCTCCTCCTCCCCCTTGGCCGGGCCCCCGAGCCCGCGAGGAGGAGGCCAGGCAGGCCGAGGAGAGGGCGCGGCAGGCCGAGGAGGAGGCGCGGCGGGCAGAAGAGGAGGCGCGGCGGGCCGAGGACCCCGCCGATCTTTCTGCGGTGGGGCCTTCTCCTCTCTCTCCTTCCTCCTCCTCCTCCTCCTCCTCCTCCTCCTCCTCCTCCTCCTCCTCCTCCTCCTCTCCTCTCCTCCTCCTCCTCCTCCTCCTCCTCCTCCTCCTCCTCCTCCTCTCTCTCCTCCTCCTCCTCCTCGTCCTCCCCCACCTTCGCCTCCTCCTCCTCCTCCTCCTTCTCCTCCTCTCTCCTCCCCCTCCTCTTTCTCCTCCTCGTCCTCCTCGTCCTCCTCCTCCTCCCCCTCCCCGTCCTCCTCCTCCTCCTCCTCCTCCTCCTCCTCCCCTCCTCCTCATCTCCTCCTCCTCCTCCTCCTCCTCCTCCTCCTCCTTTTCTCTCTCTCCTCCCTCCTCCGCGCTCCAACCTCGTCCTCCTCCTCCTCCTCCTCCTCCTCCTCCTCCTCCTCCCTGTTCTCCTCCTCCTCCTCCTCCTTTCTTGACAGTTCTTGGGCTTCAGGGACGTTCGTACTTGTCAAGTATGTCAAGCGTCTGAGGCTCGTTAGAGGTCTTGAATTGGGGCTCGCTAGTGCGGTCGCTCAGGGCAACCTCTGCGCCTTCTCGTTCTTGACCTTCCTCGCTCAAATGTTACCCCCCCTCCACGAAGCAGGCCTTCAAAGCTGAGCACGAATGTCTCCAGAGGCTAACGGCTGGCCCGAACAATGCGATCCCACACAATGTCATGCGTGCACTGTCTGAGTTAGGCTTCCCGTTGAATGCGAGATGCCTGCAGCGTACGAATCGCACCTTTATTCACTTGCAGTCCATGCTACTCGAGAGGAACCGTACGATTTCGGGGATGACCTTGGGTGTTGTGCTGCGTGGGAGTTTCAACCGTGGTGGACAGGCTCTATTCTCAAAAGTAGGATTGACAACTTCCGAGTCCTACC